TGTACATGTATAATCGAAAAGTTTGCGAAGATAAAGTTTTCTCTTTCTCCTGGATTTATGATAATGGCATATTTTCAAACTCTACATCTCAGAAATTGTTCAAATACTTTTATTCAAATAGTTATATAAATTTATAATTATTCAAATTTCTAATCAACATACTTTAATCCATTTCAATCATCTTTATTGTTATTTATATATCTATATTTATTTATAACATTTTAACGAGATAATTCATTTTATAGGTATAAACGTGTCTGATTATTTTGCTGGTACAAATTGGCGGGTGCATCCTCATTGGTTGTACTGCAAGTAAGTAAAGACATTTTATTTTAAAATAGTTATAAGATTTTTAAAACACTTAATTATATTTTGCAATTTTATTCATTATATCTATTCTTCAAATAAAATTTTAATGAATATTTATGAATTTTTTGATACAGGTATCATTATGAGGATGAACGATCGTTCAATTCCTCGGAAGCGCAACTTTTGCACTTCCTAGAGCGAACCCGCCAACCGCGCTGGAAGTGGAATGATATGAAACAACCCTCCCAGCCACCGGAATATTCAGCTACGAATTCCGGTAATGAAACTCACCGCAAATCGAAACGTAAGTATCCAATATATCGATACTGTCACTATACTTAATAATTTGAAACAATGACTGACGTATATACGTTTCATTTGGACAGCTACACCATACAAAATAGACAAAGATTCGTATTATTGCGATAGGGATCTTCTATTGAGTTTAGTGTTCGATGCGAAGGTAACCCAGTGGTTTGCGAACCTCAACATCACGCGCGAGGAGAAAGCGTGAGTATTGAATTTATTATTAAATTAAAATATATAATATACATTCTTACGATTGAAATACATATATTTTAAAAATATATCTACACATAAATACTACGTAAAACGTCATTGTATTCTGAGAATGTTAAATTTAGGATATCATTTTTTTCTCTTCGTGTTAAAAATTGCCAAAAATTTTAAAAAAAGATTTGTATAGTATATCTAAAAAATATGTACACATATACTCGGTGAACCCGTTTTCGTGCCCTCTATACTTTTACGTTTTCTGCACAGTTTTTATCTCTTTTCTTTCTTTTTATGTTTTTCCTTCTGTCAAAATCTTAACAGAAATGTATCTATTTCTTTTCTTATTAATGAACATTGACTAACTACTGACCACTTTGACGTCATGCAGACCTTTAGCTAGGCTGATGAATCTGCTGCCCAGGTAACGTTTATCATAAACGTACGTTAGGTTTTTAGAAATTAACCTGTTGACTACAGTATTTTACTGCTGTGTTGTCTGTATCTTTGTTTTGCATTTTGTACTTTTTATTTATCTTTATTTATTCTTTTTAATGTCAATTAGTTTATCATCTCTCTTATTGTAAAGAACATATATTTTTTATGTATTCTATATATTTTTTCTTAGACTTTCATAGCACTTTGCGTTTTATTTTTCTGTTATTCCTTATACAAAATGTAATTAATAAAAGGAGTTATCGACCAAGGATGAAAGTCGTCTTTCAGGATTGAAACATTGGAGAAGAAAAACAGTTTGCAAACTCAAAAATTGAAGAATTATTTTCATGAATTCGATTTATATCAAGCAGTAGTTATAATATACTTGTATACTTGTTTGTTATGATGATTTTTATAATATATATTATCATATTATCATAATTTTTTATAATATATAGTAAATATTTTAATTCAAAATAAATACATATATAAAAACAAAACGTTAATTTACGTGAGTAATCAATAGTAATGCAATTCTGCAGTATTTTAGAAAATAAATAAAAAGATTTTTAAAAAAAAAATTGTCTTTTCCACGTGTTTAATACTATTTTTCTTGTAGGAAAACGTTTCAACAACGTTTCGGTGTAACACTCGCTTTCATGGCTACTCATAGTGGTTTGACAAGATGGCAAGATTTCTTGTTAGACGAAGAAGGTGTTATTCCTGATGATCACTTTAGTAAAATGTATCCAAGAGCCATTGATGAAGTATGGTACAAACGTGCCGTAGAACAGTATTATGTGCAACCAGAAAGTTTCGTTTTTTCCGTGCCAATCGATGAGGAAGGTGCAGATAACACCACCCTTGTCACTGCTAGTCGTGCCATTTTTATTGGTAAAGAATTGTATTAATAATAAAAATACATGAAAATAGAAATAAAAAATTTGTAAAGAATCTGAAAAAATTAGAAAACAAATAAAAAGATAAGAAATCGTACAAAGATTAAGAAGTCAATTATTTATTTTTTAGATACTGAAAGAGCAAAGGCGCCAGTGGCGGTTGTAGGTTTTCAATTTCAACACACCGCTCTTCAAGGTCTCTTCCAGAATATCACATTCAGTTGCGAGGGTTCAGGGAAATGCCACACACATTGTGGTGCAGATAACTGGGCCTGCTATTTGATTGATAATAATGGATATGTAATCGCAGCCAAAGATAAATCTGACGCAGGAAAATTCTTCGGTGAACTGAGAGGACCGATCATGTCTAGCTTAGTAAAAGAAGGTGTTTTCGAAAGAATCAGAATATTCGATTATCAAGCAGTTTGTTTCAAGAGTACACAAACTAGTAATGATGGAAATATTTTATTAGCGGTAAGAATACTTTACTTATTAATTCTGTTCATAAAATTAATTTAAAAATTAAGCATTAAAAATACTAATTTTTTAATAAATCAATCGATTGCATAGCCTTGGAAACATGCGCAGAAGATGATTTCGTGGCTTGTTGGACAAGCAGTCTGGGCTTGGGCCAAAGCTGGAATTTGGGAATCCGAGTACGCATATGCTTATCCAAACGAGGATGAAGGTATCCATGAAGAATATCAAGATAATGAAGAGAAACCCCCAGTTGATGCAAAAGATGAGAAATTATTCGATCAAAAAGTTTTGATCAATCGAACAAGACCAGAAGCTTGTGATCAAGAGGTAAATTTTATGATATATCAACTATATAATATATATTATAATATATTTTTTTTAATTTTTTATTCTATATTCAAATTATATTATCTTTCTTTTAATTCTTTTAGGTATATTTGTATTTACGAAATGCATCTTTCGACATGTTCGACATAGATTCAGATGTAAAAAAAGATTGTATGAGGCCATATATCGTTCAACCGGTAAACTACAGCAATATGCTTCTTCTTGTCGTTAACACAGCCTGCACAGAGACAACTATACCTCCTTTGAGCGTCATTCCAGAAGAAATAATTTATGAGAATAATTCGCTAGTATGTCAGAAAGCACTCATTTCCTTAAAACGGAAGAGACCTCAATCTTGTATTCGCAGTCATTCGAGAGAGAGCGAGATCAAAGATCTTTGCGGTTTGGCTTCGAATATGACACCAAATATCTACCTCTTTTTTCTTTTGTCGATAACCTGTTCTCTGATTCAACGAATTGCCCTTGGTCAACATTAATTTTTTATTAGGATGATATATTGCTTATCGATTTAAAATCGATGATAAAAAATAAGAGATGATTAATTAAATTTCAAAAATGCTGCTAATTCTTTTAACAAAAAAATTATCTTTACGATCGTTCATATTATACAATATATAGATGCCATTAAAACGTTTTTCGGGAGGATTGCGAGTATTTACCTTTGCCAAATTTTATTATAAGTTATCAGTGAAAAAAACAATTCGTTATGAATCAATTGTTTTTTGTTTTTATAGTTATCATGATTCCAAGATGTATTAATATTTATGATAATTTATAGTAATGTTGTAATAAGGAGAAGTTCTCCGAGTCCTGGTGCTGTCTCCTCAGATGGTATTTTGACGATACTACAGGCAGGGTCTGTATCTACATTAATTGGTCCAATCATCAATGTACCTCGAGGATTAAACTATGTCACGGGATCAGGGTTAACGATATTTAAATAGGATGTATACCCGTGAATCGGTGCCGAACTAGTCCTAAAGAACAACCTTACTGCCCGAAATGCAATGCGATGTCTATTTCATATACGTTCCTGCTCTATTTTTTGTTTTCCAATTACAATTTCATTCAACTACTTAATTTGTTATTTTGATGATATTTAAATTATAACAGAAAATAGATCTATAGAATCGAACTATGGAAGATCGGTTAGAATATCATTAATCAACTATCATTTTTAACTTAACCAAATTTCCCGAAAATTTTATAGTACTTATTACTTTTATTCCAAAATCTAAAAAAAAATGAAAAAAATAATCAAAACTTTATAAATTCACATTCATCTACAGAGATAAGAAAAAATAATCAAAAAATATGCTTTTTTGACAAAAAAAAAATATAAAAATATTGAACAGAAAGACATAAAATACTGTTTATTCAAATACTGTTATTACTAGTTGTTTTACAAACTATACATTCGACCAATCTATACGTATGTAGGTGGAAAATTCTAGAGCGGCCAGAATACATATGACATTATTTAAGATGTAGATCTAATGTGATACAAAAGAGGAAGTTAATTCGCTCAAGAAATGTTCGTAGGTGTAGGATGTACCTACATCGTTATACATCGTTCGTCTTAGTCGCTAATGTTATTTTTTGAAGTATTCAAGTAAATAGAATTTTATAGAAAATTATATGTCGGAGCAGGGTCGTATATAAAAATCATACGTTCATAATACTATGAGATACATTCACATACACATATACACATTTTGCGCTTTGTACATTAACCGATGTAAAACGTGTCGTTTGATATTTATAGAGATTACGAATATTAATTTTGTATATTAATGTATTATACGAGAGTTACAAGGATGTGTGCCTTTGGACACGCGGTTAAGAAACAAAATGAAACAAAAAAAAAAAAAGGACAAAAATATTGTTGTATGTTTTTCAAATAAACAACTGAACTCTCTACTTCACTAGCTCTCTGCTTCCTTAAAGCGAAACAGAAAGGATTTAATAATAAGAGATGTGGCGAGTTTCCATCCGAAAAACGAATGATGTTACTTGTATTACACAGAGTTTATTACAATTTGCTATGTACAATGGCTTGCCTATATAAAATGAAAATTTCTTATCAAAATGATAAATGTTGAACTATTATTTTAATTGACTTAACATGTCCTCTATAATCTCCAGCGTAATCTTTGATTGCATATCTTTATAAAGCCTATCCTCTAGTATTTCCAGAGCTGTTCCATTTTTCATGAATTCTTTCAAATTATGGATTGTACCATTTGGAATTCTATGATCCGTAACCCGATCTTGATTAAAATTATATGTTCTAATTTTCTCATTTCTCAATCTTTTTCCTATTTGTTTCTTACGTATTTGATTAATGAACGAGACTTGCTTATTTAATTCTTCCTGGTATAACACACTTTTTAATTTTGTTAATGCTATTTGCTTGTTTTTTATTTGAGATCTATTCGTCTGACAAGTCACAACTGTACCAGTAGGTATATGAGTTATTCTAATTGCAGAATCTGTAGTATTTACATGTTGACCTCCTGCTCCAGATGCTTTTTTTGATTCTATTATCAAATCTTTTTCTTCTAAATTAATATCTACATCTTTAGGTTCTGGTAAGATTGTTACAACAGCTGTGCTAGTATGTAAACGACCAGACTTCTCTGTTGCAGGAATTCTTTGTACTCTATGTACACCACTTTCATATTTTAACTTTTTGAATGCATTATTATCAGATATAAGCAGAGTAGCTTTTCTTAATCCATTTATTTCATTATTTAATATTTCTAATATTTCATAATTAAATCCTATATGATCAAAGTAATTAATATACATATTTAATAAATCTCTAGCAAACAACATAGCTTCTTGACCACCTACACCTGGTACTATTTCCATAATAATATTATCATAATGTTCTACATCTATATATTTTATAATAATATTTAAAATTTGTTCATCAATCTGTAATAGCTGTTCCATATACGTTAATTCTTCCTCTTTTGCAAGATTCTTTAGTTCTTCATTGCCACTTACTAAGATATAAATTATATATTTTATTAAATATAATATTAAGGAAAAGAATTTTTAATTTATAAATATATGAAAATATATATGATAATAAATAAAAGTATAATACTTACTAAAATCATCTAAATTCTTTATATTCTCAATTATTTTAGTTTTTTCATTCAATAATGATGGAATTTCAGGTAGTTTAAGAATTTCAGAAATATTCCCTTTTCTTTCATCCTCATTTTGATATGCATTCATAAGATAATTTAAATATTTTTTAATATTTGCATTAGTTATAAATAAATTACTTTTTGAATTAAATAAATTATATATAAGTGAAACTTGCTTATCGAGATTAAAAAATAATGGATAACCTAATTCAAATAATTTATTTCTACATATAAAATTTCCATAATATTGAGAAATATTAAAAATATTTTTTTTCATAAAAAATAACATATTTTAATAAATTTTATAACAATAAAAAATTATATTTTGCAAAATTCAATCTCATTACAACAAAAATACAACCTCTTTCCTTATTATATTTACAACTGAAGAGAGCGACAAATTTTCTATCAAAAACAGTTATCAGTGCAGGAAACATTAAAAAAATATAAATTGTTACATTTAAAAATGATATTTTTAAAATAAATCTAAATTATCTAATTTAAAATATAGGAATTTATATTTATATGAGAAGTTAATATTTTCATAAAATTGGATATAAAAAATGACATATATTGAATATAAAAAAATGAAATATTTAATTGAGAATGATGTCTTAATTTTTCTCTGTTGGTAACAGTAGATTGTGCCACCATTTCGATAATTTTTACAATCTTGATTCAATTATGTCTATTCAGTTTCATACAATATTAAAAAATATCATACGTATATACTTCTTTTTCTAACTTTCTAATATTTATAATTGAAATCAAAAATGTAATTTATTTTAAAAAGACATGTATTAGAGATATGCATGCAATATTATATGGAATTCTTTAATTTTATATTATCTTAACATTATTATTATATATGATTGTTATTTACTTCAACAAATTTATATATTTATATACATATGTAGCATGTGTAAAAAACTAGATTGTAAAGTGTGTCGTATCAATTATATCGATTTTCTAATGAATATATACAATTCACTTCTAATATTTCTTTCTTTTCTATGTAACATTATAATATAAATAATAACTGCTACAGAAAACATAATATTCATAAAAATATATTAATATTGTTACCATTTATAAATATATTAAAAAAAGTTTATTATTATTTATTATAAGTATTAAATAAGTGTATTCAAACTTCTTGTAATCATCTTCCTTATATGAACGAACATGTGTTTAAATTAAAATAACAGCAACTTGAAGTACAAGTTTATTAATTATAAGTATAAAAATGCCTGCTGCGCTTAGCAAGCTTTTTTTCTTTATTGCTATTATTATTTTATCAAATAATGAATTATAATGTGTTATATTATTAAAAAAAATAAGATATATAAAGAACAACATTATATTTTAATTTCTATTTTATTTTTTATACAATTTTATAATTAGCGATCAGTAAAACTCGCAAAACTTATCGTTTAAAAGATCGATAATGTCCTTCTCGTGATGGATGATAAACGTATAGCGAACGTTGAAATGAAAAATGTAATCTAACGGATAATTATAAACAATTATATCTCATACGATATAAAAAATTAAACATGTAAGTATAAATTTATGAATATATTGTTACATATTTATTAGTTCTAATGAAGAATTACAATGAATTAATATAAGAGATATAGATGTAGAACGAGGCTAGTGGTAGTTTCACAAAATATAATCGAAGGTAATTCAAAATGTTACCCAATTCAAAGTATGTAGGTAGCTGATATTCAGAACGAATGCGCCAAGCGTACCGCACAAGTGAGATAGCAAACAACAGAGAAAGATACGTACGGTAGACCAGTATAGAGCGGCACGGACAGCTACAATTGAGAATACTATTTTTCATTAAAACAAACACTACGTAAATTTCGAAAATAAGCGCTCACTAAAAAAAGGTAAGTTGTAAAATATTCAACGATTTATTAGAAACATATAAAATTAAATAATAACTTGTTAGTTATCTATTAACGTGGCCGCAATGGAAATTGATTTTAATGTATTTATGTGTAGGCTTTATAATATTATAACGAATCATGGAACCTTGCGAAAACCGATCACAAGAGAAAGTACAAGAAGGAGGTAATATTAATTTATACTTGCAATTTTTTTATACTGTTATTCGCATAATTTTTATTATATAACATGAACATTATTTATAATAAAATTATGATTATTCAGTAACCTTCTAAAGTTTTTGAAATGATTCCGACTGTTGATCGTTGATTCTATTACCTGACATCACACACATTCAAAAAGTTTTTAATATATATCTTACAGGATTGCAAAATCAATAAAATCATTAATGAAACGCGTAAAGAAAATTTATTTTATTTAATTAGTCATATCGTCATAATAATAATAAATTTTATATATTTATATAATCTATTTATGAATATTAAATATATAAAAATTAAATATAATATTAAAAAATATAATATATAATTTTTTTGAAATAAAATATTATTGTTTTATTTTAATAATTATATTATAATAAATATATAATAAAAATAATTTTTAAAATATAAGATATATTTAAATAAAGTAGAATTTATTTAATTTTTTAATTTTTTAAGTTTATTTAATTTTTAATATATTTATAATTATATTTATAATATATTATAATATATTTATATTATAATTATATTTATAATATATTTATAATATATTATAATTATATTTATAATAATATTTTTTAATATATTATAATTAAAAATAAATAATATAATTATTAATATAAATATTTATAATTTTGAAATGAAATAAATAAAAAATTTTATTTTATAAAATTTAAAATAAAAATTTGTTTTTCAGAATATGGATTTTTTTGGCAAGATTATCTTGATGCTACAAATAGTGTTGAAGTACCACAAATTATGTTTCCACATGTTGAATTGACACTTCAAAGTGGTATTGAAATTGGTATGTCTCTTGAAGTGCCAATTCCAAAAAAAGAAAATGAAGAAAATATTAACTATTGGATAGCTTCTATTGTAATGGCATGTGGACCTTTATTAAGATTACGTTATTTTGGTGGAGATGATAGATCATTAGAATTTTGGTTCAACCTCACTAAAGAAGCTGCTCATGAACTTGGATGGTGTGTAAAAAATAATAAAAAATTAGAACCACCTGATATTATTCGTCAAAGATCATCAGACTGTATAGAAAAATTGTCTGAATTTTTAAAAACAGCCCGGAGTATTCCATCAGAAATGTTATCAGGAGTTAGTTAAAAAAGTTATAAAAAAAATTTTATAAAAAAATTATAATTAAATTTTATATTTTTTTATATATTTATTTTTGTTTAGGATGGTTTAAGCATGACAGAGAGAATTAAGCAAGGCATGAAAGTTGAAGTTAGTGATATATTACATCCATATAAATTATGGGTAGCCACAGTAAGAAATAATATATAAGTTTTATGTTATATATATAGATATAATATATATATATATATATATATATATTATTTATAATTATTATCTCTTAATTAATTTTCTTAATTAATATTTCTTCAGATTATAGAAAATGTAGGAGGACGACTTTTGTTAAGATATGATACTCCTGGTTCTTCACGTAAAGATTTTTGGATGTTTTGTACATCAGAACATTTGCATCCCTATGGGTTTACATCTAAATCTGATTCTACCTGGTTTTTAGAACCACCTAGTTCTATAGTAGAAACACATACATATGAAGAATGGAAAGATTTATTAGAATCTACACCAAAAAATTATGATCTTCCTGAAGAATTATTTCATAATACTATAAATCATTCTAAACATGAATTTAAAATTGGCATGAAATTAGAAGCATTAAGTCCAATTGATCAGATAAAAATATGTCCAGCCACTGTTATAAAAATATTTGATGACATTTATTTTCTTGTACATATTGATACATATGATGAATTATCTAAGGGAATGGATATTGAAGCATGTATGTATAATAGTACAGAAAAAAATACTTGGCTTTGTACGGTAGGACATCCATATATATTTCCAATTGGATGGGCAAAAAAGCATAATATCAAGTAAGCTTTTGTTTCTTATATTATCTAACATAATAAAAATTTAAAAAAAAACAATTTGCCAAATTAATATTCCAAATAAATTTTACATCTTAAATATTATTATATTCAATATAATATTATTATAATATTATTATAAAATTTATTGAATATAAAAAAGTTGAAAATATTAAACAACAATTAATAATGAAAAATGTAAAATAATATAATTGATAATAATAATAAAAAAATTATATTGTAAAATATAATTAAAATTGATAATAATAATAAAAAAATTATATTTTATTATATTCTAAATCACTTATTTAAATAACAAAAATTTATTTTTTATTTATTATAAATTTTTTGTAATTGATTTTAATTATTTTCAAACTTTGAGACTTGCAATTTACATATTTTAATATTTTGCTTTTTAGAATTGTACATCCAAATGGTTGGACTCCGAAAGAAGATGAATTTGATTGGGATGAATATTTAAAAGATACTCAAGCAATTGCTGCAGAAGAAAAATTGTTTTCAGAAAGACAAAGTGCCATCGATGTCGGTTTTGAATGTGGCATGCGATTAGAAGCAGTTGATCCAGAACGTGAAAATGTGATATGTGCTGCACATATTACAAAAATTGTTGACAATCTTTTATGGTTAAAATTAGATAATTATGAAAATACAAGACCAGAACATATTGTTGATATGTATTCCTTACAAATATTTCCTGTTGGATGGTGTGAATCCAATCATTATCCATTAAAACCACCAAAAGATTATATGGAAATTTGTAAACAGTTACAAATGCCTTTAAAAGAAGAAAAGAAAACTAATGTTCTAGATATACCAATATCTGAGCCACGTTCTTCGCTATGGTGCCCAAAAATATATTTTAACTATCGTTGTTTTACGGGTCCCATGATTTCTAAAGGAAAATTAGCAACTTTACCAAAAGCAGTAGGACCTGGTCCTGTAATTTTAGTTATGAGAGAAGTTTTATCAATGATCGTATCTGTAGGATATAGAAGCGCACGGATATTAAAGGTACTTCAATGTGATTCAAAACCAGATCCAGGATATCATTTAGAAGTTTTAAAAGCCAAACATAAAAACAATACATATCGTGCGAGCGTCGCTGTAGTTACATCCGGAGATATGGTAGCTGATTTTTGTAGAAATATCTGTAAAAAATTAATGGTATGTCCAAATTTATTTGGTCCCTTATATGTACCTGAGAATGAATGTCCTGATAAATGTCATAAAACATCAAA